AAACGCCGAATTCGATGCTGCACCTATTTTGCGGATTAATATGCATTATTAATTTAGGCGTACATAATCATTTTGAACTTGTGCTTCGAAAAAACTCTGAAAAATGACCCATTTAAATGCTGACATTACTTATGATAACGACGAGTTGCGAAACAAAAACAGCAATTCATAATAATCTAGCAATTGTATACGAACAGCTGAAAGACTTTCATAGGGCATCGCAGCACTTACTGAAAGCTCGCGAAACTGACAACACAGAAGATAAGGAAATGTTTACTGTGCCATAAAACGTTTCCTTTTCCAACAATTACCTGTCAGATCTTGAGGAACACAGCTATTTTCATATTTTTATAAGGCGCATGATTAAAAGCTTAACCACTATTTTATTATTGGCTTATTTATAACCTCACCTCATTCGAAAGAGGAGTTCGAGATGGCTAAGAAAACCTACTTTTTAGCCTTTCCATTGTGCTTTTTCAGAGAAAAAATCTCAGAAACTTTAGGAACCTAAAACTTCGAGCAAAGCCTAATTTTCGGAAAAGCTTCAATAAGCATTTCGAAGCCCTGAAACATCATTTTTCGAAATCGGTGTCAAAAACTGCATATAGAAAACTATATTGCAAAGGTCCGCGCCAACAACTAAAATTTTCGAGGCAGATCGTACCGAGGGATCTCAAAGTGCCCGGTAGCTATTTTGTAGTGTGACAAACAGGGCTGCATCCTCTAAGACGAAAAACTAGGTAGGTTTACAAAATGGCTACCAGGCACTTTGAGATCCCTCGGTACGATCTGCCTCGAAAATTTTAGTTGTTGGCGCGGACCTTTGCAATATAGTTTTCTATATGCAGTTTTTGACACTGATTTCGAAAAATGATGTTTCAGGGCTTCGAAATGCCTATTGAAGCTTTTTGAAGCCACTTGTTGCAGAGGTTGGAATGGTGCCTTCTACTTTTAGAGATCTATAATATTAGGACAGCTGCTGAATGGCTGCCGACGAAGTTCTCAGATCATTGACAAGGTAAAAGTGATTAATAGATGGTTTGCGTAATTTAGAATTCATTCAACCTTTCGCTCTTAAAACTTTTAGTGGCACAATTCCGAAAGATGAAAATCCAGTACGACATCAAAATTTTATAGGCATTTGGTTAGACGCTCAGTGCGAACAGGAAAAGCATGCTTCTCTTAAAAGTGCCCTTAATAACATCTTTCATTCTTTTAAGTCATACACCAACTTTAAACCGTTGTTCAGATTTCAGCCTACGCGGTATCCTGGTCAGCTGTTTTTTATTGTATCACATACTATTGGTGACCATGTCATACCATATATTGAAGAAATGCCGCAGATTGAGTATATTTATGTTTGGTGTGTAAGTGAAGTTGAACAACAATATTGGAGTTCAAAAATAACGAACAAGATTCAAGGTGGATTTGTGAGTGTAGAAACATTAATTGAACAAATAAAAACCAATATTTTGACTTTCAACAGACTACATTTAGCAACAACGGCTTCGGCTACAACTACTGCACTTACTACCGAAGGTGGAATAGCGTCTGCAACAACAACTACTGGCACTACTACCGTCACAACCGCAGGTCAAGAAATCAACAGTAATCGTTCAGATTATGCTCTTCCACCAGTATCTGTATTCAATGAGAAACTGAGAAATACCTCATTAAAATATTTGAGTAAGGATTCTATTACGTTTATTCGGTTTCAATTATTAATTGAAATTTTAATGAGCCTGAAAAGGTCGGAAAGTGCAAAAGATGACATGTTATCGATTTGTCGAAAATTTTATAAAGATAGTGTGGTCGTACAGGCAAAAATCGATGAATTTGAGAAAGACGTTGAGAATCCATTAAAAGCTATGTACTGGTATACAGCTGATTCATTCGTCACTCATCTTTTAAATAAAGTATGTGGCACGGAAGACGTTGATCAACTATATTACTTTCGATTATTTATTACAAATTTGCATAGCCGAATTATTGAACTGTATGCAGCAGCTGCAAAAAATAACATTGTTCTCTATAGAGGAAAACGTATGGCTGTAAGTACATTAGAAAACATACGAAATAATGTGGGTGGTCTCGTAGCAATGAATGGTTTTTTATCGACAACGTTTGACGGTACAGTTGCAAAATTCTTTGCCGG